ATTTCTATATGAAAAACAATTGTATGTATGAAAGAAACTTATAATTCAATGTTAAAAATTGTTTAAACGTCTCTAGATTTCTAAAACAAGTATATATACTTAAAGTTATTTAATTTTGTCTAAGCAACGAAATTTACTTTTATCTTTTACTGCTTTGTTTAATTATAGGCATTAATTTAATTGTACATTAATATGAAATTATTAATCATTGTTATTAAAATTAAAACCATATCAAAAATATAATTTTTTACGTTACTATCTACTGTTGACAGTTCACAAATAGTAATCAAGTTATTTGTAGGACAAACGAAATTTAAAGCAATATGTTCACCATGTCAAGTTATATACTAAAAGATTTTATTTTACTTTGATAACTTTCTCACAAATCGGTCCAAATTATGAAATTAAAGAATTTTAAAATCAGAAAATGGATATAGTATACAAAAATGCACGAGGCATCCAAAATAAAGTATGTTTGTTGTAATTTTTTAATTACAGAAATAAAATCTGTATTAACTTCTGTAGTTATGTTCATAAAAGTATAAATTTGAATAAACGAAACAACGAATAAAATAATTTAAATTAAACATAATAGTGACTAATATTAATGGAACTTTAAGTTCAACTGATAAAGTACTTTTTCTTTTGAGGGTTAAAATTTGCTATTTCATACGTTTTTCATTTTTATTTCTACAACTTTTACATTTAAATTTAAAAAAAACCGACGTTGGAAAGAGTGGAAAATTTCACTCACAATCAAATATGTTTTTAGCGCGCCACGTGGGATTTTATTACTCTCCATTTCGTAATTTATTGATTTTAGCACGATACAATTCTTGAGCAAACATTTCGAACACGTACAATGTGACATCTCTGTGACAATATACTGCTCACCATCTCACGCTACGATATGACAATTTCATATAAAAACGTGATATTTCTAAAGCATAGAAATTTCAGCTATAAAAAATTGGAGAAGTTCATTTTTCATAAATAATGCATCATCTTACAATTAAATATTGAATAATAATGTAATTAGAGCAAACATGTCTTTTATAAAAGAAAAAAGTTGGAGTTAAATGAAAAGAAAGAAGTGATTAAAATGCAGCAATAATTATACAATATAACATATAATTATTTACCAATAATTCGTATAATAATAAAATTATGGTTTCTTAATTATAAGAAAATTTAATATTTTTCGTTCGTATGGAATAAATGAGATTATAAATTTTCAATTTATTTCCGGAATCTTTGTTCCACGTCCTGGAATGAAAGAAGAAAATACAGAATGCCCTTTTGTAAAGACACTCCACACATTTATCATTACAAGTATCTTTCTGGAACATATTTCTTTTCAAATAGGTTTTGTCTTTGAACTTCCATGCGTTCTTGTATCAAGAAGAAATTGAAATCTCGAAGATGTTGAGATCTTCAAACTATATATATTTGGAAAATATGATTTATGTTTTATAAAAATAGACATGTGAGATATATTATAAAAATATAAAGATATAGGTATAAATATGTGAGAAAGCTAATAAATGAATGCCACGAAAGATTTAAAAATTTGGAGATTAAGATTTTGGAAGAAATAACAAACAAATAATAATTTCAATAATATAAATTTTATTTTATGTATAAGATATAATTTCAAATAAATGTAAAATTTAAATATAAACAGAATTTATATTATTGAACTATTGTAAAATAATACAAATTATTCGATACTATGAATAATTCAAATGAATAAATATTTTTTCATGGTATATTATTTTTTTCATATCACTGAAATTTTTCATAGTTAAAAATCAAAGTTATAATTGTAATATTCTTGTTCTTCAAAAAAAAAAAATTGGTTTAATTGAAGAGATAAAATGATGCTCCAAACTTTTCAGCGAGAAAAACGCAATTAAGATATGAATTAACAATCAATAAAGAAATGAACGATATTTTTTCATATTATTCGGTGCAAATTATAAAAATTTTACAAACCGCTGAAAAAATTTAATTATACTAAAAAAATACATGTTAACATAAATAAATAAATGCAATATTCTCGAAAGTTAAGAGATTCGAAGTATAATTCAGAGAACGTTATTCGATTCGAAAATGAAATTCACTCTCCTCCGAATTGATGTTCCCTAAAAATAAATCTTGTTTCTTCAAAGAGAAAATATTTTATTTGTGGAAAGGAAATCTTCGTGGATGTAGAAAAGAAGTTGAGCCTGAACACATATGTAGCAAAAGTTCCTGTTTCATCATGTACAAATAGAAAGAGAGAGATAGGGGGAGGAGGAACTGTATGCGAGTATTTTGTGATACAATATTTATTGGCATGACTCAACAGAGTCGAACTTCAGAAACAATGAAAATCAAATTAACGAAAGATTGAATTACAAAGAATTTGTTACTATTTCGTTTTCATTGCCAAATACGAGGATATTATGTTCTCATAAGTTAGGAAACAAATCTTTTACAAATGATCAAAAAATATTTAAAAAAAGATAAATTTTGTATTCAATTTCTACACACATATTTATCTTTTACTTACACTGTCCCTAAAATCGTGATACAACCGATCGAAGAGTTTAAAAAGAATATAAGAAAGAACGGAATATTTTCATTTAAGACCATTTTCGATAATATCGAGTCAAGTAGAGTATATATTTTGTAATAAAAAATATTTTATTATTTATTTCATATTTATAACAGTATATACAAATTATATCTATCTTTGCAGTCAATGATTATTTTTACTTTATAATGTTATTTTAATTTCGTAATAATAGCATCACTGATATCATATCGATTTTACTTTCCTGTAATTATGCACTGGTGTCAAAAAATCAAGGTTATAAAATTATTTCGTACCTGTCGAGGTCATGTATGTTAGTGATAGAATTTGTGGATAAACTTCTACTGTGTTACTGTTAATTTAAGATTCTCATTAGCGCGCGTGTCGCACAAACCGTGTTACTATGTGTAATGTGCAAACAATCAGGGATCTACTTGTTGTTTGGTTTAGCCTCTCTTGTATCATCGTCACTTTCCTAGTCTCTCAGCTATTGAGATGGAAATAATTATGATAAATGACGAAGAAGTTATTAACAACTGTCGAATTTTTTTTCACAATTACACCTTTTGTTTATAAACTTATATGGGATTTGCATTATGGAAAAATCTTACAAGGTAAATTTCTAGTTTAGTAGCTTTCGCCTATTTCGCTATCGTTTCTTTGATAAGAGGTTCATTTTATCATTAAAATAAAAAAATCAGTTCGGAGGAGATCGACAAAACCTAGTCTTTTCTTTTTTTTACTTTAAAAAGAGAATTTTGATTTAATAGATGAATTCAACATATTAATTACGAATTGCTTGTTGTCCGAAATTATGTCAATATCGATTGAACCTTCACATTTGATAAAATAAATGAATTAACGTGTAGGATATACATATTATACTTTATCAAATAGCTGTGTTCTCAGTTAATATTTATTAATCAAATGCGGTAAACTACGAATATTATTGACGTGATTATATTACTATATTATAAATGTGTATGGAATAAATTAGTTTATCTAGAGAAAAAGAAAGTAATTCTGTTTTAAAAAATTTTAAAAGAGCATTAATTATCATCTATTGAAATTCATTTCTTATATTTCGTACACATTTAACTTTTTAATAATAATACTATTATATTATTGTTATATGTATAAGTCATTTTCGTAAAAAGAATTTAACATGCATCTAAATTAAAATCTTACGAATCGTTCATATAAAAAAATAACTTAGCATAAATTTGAATTAGATTGAAAGAAAGGTATTTTTTGAATATTCTTTGAATATTTGACGGTTGTATGACGTAAAGTCAGATTAATTAAATTTAATCTCCACTTACGCCGAGAAAGATATAAAGCATAACAGGATTAAATGAAGATTTATATACACTCTATAATTTATAGTTTCTTGTTTATTTTGAAACTTATTTCGTAAACTAACATAAGTTTATGATTAGAACTAACCACGGAAATTTCCACGCTTCCCCACGTTTCTTCATTAGTTTAGCAAATGAAAATAACCGTTTGTAAATATTTGAACAGTATTTTACAATTTCTTGCTAAAGGAAATGTTATAATTGTTATATAATCGTACACGTATAATAATAGAAAATAAATTTCACAAATAAAATTCGTTGAAATTTATGATAAAGTTGAAACAGTAATTTAACAAGCCTAAATATAGCGTTATTTGTGTAACTGTAATAATTATCTATTTTTCTTATTGAAATTAGAAGAAAATATTACGAGAAAAAACATGAATGATTCAATGTAGACTACTTACATACATACATAATGATTAGAATAGCAAATTCATATTTTTGAAAATATAATTAATAAAATAAATTTTAACTGTTTTATTATACTGAAATATTAGTTGTTTAGTTATAGAATAATATAGTTTCTAAAATATATACATAACTATTTATATTTCTTTCTTTTTATATAATAGTTATACTATAGTTATACTATATTCTTTGGTAAGAATAAACTCGACACTTTTGGAAGAATATATGAAAAAAGATTTGTATAGAGAGGACGTGCAAATATATTTAAAAAAAAAAGAATGTGCCAATAAAATTCAATTCACTCTCGAGTATTTAAACTTGCTCAAAACTTACATACCAAGAACCAACAGAATCGAATTGAAGTTTACTAACAACTTAAAGTTAGGACAGAAGATGACATTTCATTTTTCTCAAATTTGAAAAGAAATTTGTGCGAAATAAATAAATTGCGTAAATTCATACTTCAAAATAGTGTGGCGTACTAATAATCCTCAGTATAAAGTACGAACTCACTACTTGTTTCCAACAGTTACAATAATAGCTGACGGAGCAGTTAGAATAATAGCTAATTCGGTGTTGTCTTCAAATAAAATTATCCGAAGATAGCTGATTTATGCATTAAAGCGTTGTTGAGTAGTTAAAGTAGTACTCACAGTTGAGAGCCCCTTCGTCTGGTGCGTCGTTCTTCGTCAGGACCCAAAACAGGTGGAGGCACCACTTTTGGTGGAACCACTGGCACAGGGGATGCTTCCAAGTTCATCATACTTTCATCTTCAGCACCGACATCGTACGGCATCACCGGCTTCACTGCTCGAAACGATGATCTACGAACGGTCGGTCTTTCCTCTGGTTTCCTGCCACCTGGCAAAAAGAAATTTTCCATTCGTACAATCATCTACGTTCTTTTAATTTATATACTAAACGACTAACGAAACTCGGAATAAGAGAAATTGGAATTGGTAAATTTAAATAACAACGACAGTGAATAAAAATTAATGCAAAATTAATTGATAAAGAATGAATATTAATCCAGCTGGTTATTAAATGTCATTGAACATTGAAAATTATAACAATTTATTTATTATTAATTATTTAGTTTCGGTGTTCTCAATTTAATTAAATTTCAATACTAATTTCTATTACAAAGGATATGAAATAGAGGTAAAAATCTTGAATTAAATACAATATGTAAATTACGACTATATAGAACGATATTATTTGAATTTTATTTCTATTTTTTGTGAATAGAATATTATTTGTTCACCTGTTAAGAACCAGCCAAGATATAATTTTTTATGTTATCGAATCTTGAGTTTTAATCTATTATGAATTTATCTAATATCCTTTTCATTACTATTTTTTTCAATTTATTCCACAATTTTATAATTATACATTTCAAAAGAAATGTAAGTATTTGTAATATTATGATGAATTATTGCTCGGCCCTTAATGGATTAATATGTGTGCCATAAATTGTCTCTTATTCGATCCTGATTTAATCAATTTTCGCTTTAACTGATTACATTTTAAATACAAATATTGAATAAATAAGGAAATATATTAAAAAGAAGCAAATTAACAAAATTAATAAAATAAATTTTTCCTTATCGAAAGAGTTTAATTCCGTAGTAAAACTGAACATTTTTGTTCTCACTCTTCTGTAGAAATATAAAGAAATAAACACTTTCTTAAAGAGTTCTAAAGAATTTTTAATTCAATTATTATTGAATTAAAAGTAAAGAATTGATTTAAAGAATTCTCAATTCCAGAAATTTTATTATTCAATCGTGATCCAATTTTCTTCACCATCATTTAAAGATGTAGATATTAATTAAAATGTAGTATTCTAACGCGATAGGATATTAAAAAAGAAACTTTATTAATAAATAATTAAATATTTAACGTATATGTAAGAATATTTTCAAATAAAGATACGTTCGAAATGTTTTTGCCATTTTGTATTCTCTATTCAGGGAGCTAGTCAAAGGAACGCCTCAGTAAATTAAGATCTAAAAAATACAATAGCTCCGAGTGGGGATAAAAATGAAAGAAGGATAAGCCATTCGGAAAGCGAAAGAGCACTTGGAACTACAATAAAATATATTGAACAATACGATAATTCAACTGCCAATAATATAAAGAAAGGAGACTGAAATTGCTTTGTCAGCTGAATTTAAATAAAAGGAGAAAAGAGGAATAAAAGTTATTGATTTCTTATATGAATAAATATCCAATATTATCCAGTATTATTTTTAATATTGTATGTACATATTGTACAAATGAAGTACACTTTCAAATTAATCAGTGATTGATTATGTCGAATTGATTAAAAAGAGGTTGGGTATATTTTAATAAGTCAATGTAATATCTCTTTTATCAATTTATGATAATACTTTTAAATAATATGTTTAATAATAATATTTGTTCATACTTTTTATAATTATTTATTTGATTCGTATTCTTATCTGCTTTATTATTATTATTATTATTATTATTATTATTATGTGTACAATTTTTACATTTTATTTTATTTTTCGTCTATTTCAGTGCTTTATCATTCTATTATTTGTCATAAATAATTGAAAGAAAATAATTTGAAATAAAATGATCCAACTCTTTTGAGTCATTCACAACTTGATGATAGCAATTGAGAATCAACATTGTACGATAACACGTATTCAATATATTTTTTCCCCTGAGTTCTTGCAATTAACACTGTCTGAAGTTTTTTTTAAATAATTTATAATGTGCGGTATATTATTTATAATATTAAAGCCAAAATTTCGAATCTTTGTATAATATTATAATTCTAACTTTATAATATCGCTTCGTAATATTTATGGTAGAATTATGTTCTCTGAATACCCTAAACTCCCTGAGATTATGCACCCTGTTTCAAATGTAATCCAAAGTGTCGTGGTTACTTATGGCTCAAAGGTATTACTCAAGGATTAATCTCTAATGTTTGTAATGTCAAAAACAACTTTTCAGCTATTGGTGATTTAAAGTTATTCTTGGTATATTTGTTTCATCGTTCAAAACAGATTGATGTTTTTCGCACGAAAAATTCCTGTTTCTAATAATAAATAAAATTTAAATTATTTCTATTAGTAAGTTCTATTACTTGTTCACTCTATATAAATGTTTCAAAACAAAAATTTGTAAAAATATGCTTGCTACAAAATAATTCGAACATCTATAGTAACTTCTCACGAAAGTATCATGTGTGTCACATAAAACGTTTTAAAATTTCATTAATGTTGTAAAAATTGACAATTAGTAAGACTGGTGAAGTCTGAAATAAATTTAAAACTTATATTTTACAAATAGAAATTACAAAACATTTAACGGTATATTATTTCGCAGCATAGTAAAAATATTTAAAAATTTACAAGATTAGAAATTGGCAAAAATTAAAGATAGTTTTACCATTTGAGTGTATTTTTAACTATCATTGTTGGTGTAAGCTTTTAACTAATAATGTCGTAACTAGACTGCGAATTCCTATGCATTTGTAAAAAGATTTTAAATTACAAAATTGCACAAAACGCACGATAAAAAAATATCCAAAGGCACATTTTTTCATCCAGAGATTGCTTTTTACATTTTTATGCAAATTACGTTCCCAAAGATACAAATCTGCATGAAAGTCCACAGCCTGCTCGCTATCAAACATGCACAGTTCCATTTCAAGAGTCGTACGATAATTTCCGCAATTACGGCCGGATCTTCTTAATCTGCTTGCTTCCGCGAAGGCTTTCCAATCAAATTAAGCCCCCAAATACCGCGTAACAAGCGCGTAAATTAATTAGAACGACGTTCACCTCGTTACAAAGTATTTCGACTGTTACAGATTAAAGTTTGAGTTACAGATCCGACCAAAATTAGATGAAGCTAGGCCCGGGCCAACTTGTGGACATACATACATAGATGTGACTAACTACGAGCGGTACTTCATGAAGGAAGTTAAACTCGATTACGTCCGCAGGACTTTCGTCCGGTCTGGTAAGGATCGCAAAAGGCAGCGAGATAATCGAATGGCCCCCCCGTCCTTTTGTAACTATCCTACGGCGATCCTTACGGTCAAAGGGCAATGTTCTCCTCTCATGTCTGCTCACCATGACAAATATTATGTCTGGGAACAATTTAAACAGATCAAGTTCGTGTATAAATTTATACAATACTCGGTAAGATTTGAAACAGTGAATATGACAGATTGTAATTTGGAGAACAACGACATAGTCTGTTCATTATTACTTTTGGCCCCTTTGGCGATTCGAGCATCTGATTGTATCGATATAGCGAAACAGTAAGATTTGAAACCGTGAATACGACAAATTGTCTGCTCACCATGACAAATATTACGTCTGGGAACAATTTAAACAGATCAAGTTCGTGTATAAATTTATATAATACTCGGTCAGATTTGAAACAGTGAATATGACAGATTGTAATTTGGCGAACAACGACATAGTCTGTTCATTATTATTTTTGGCCCCTTTGGCGATTCGAGTATCTGATTGTATCGATATAGCGAAACAGTAAGATTTGAAACCGTGAATACGACAAATTGTCTGCTCGCTATGACAAATATTACGTCTGGGAACAATTTAAACAGATCAAGTTCGTGTATAAATTTATATAATACTCGGTAAGATTTGAAACAGTGAATATGACAGATTGTAATTTGGCGAACAACGACATAGTCTGTTCATTATTATTTTTGGCCCCTTTGGCGATTCGAGTATCTGATTGTATCGATATAGCGAAACAGTAAGATTTGAAACCGTGAATATGACAAATTGTCTGCTCACTATGACAAATATTACGTCTGTGAACAATTTAAACAGATCAAGTTCGTGTATAAATTTATATAATACTCGGTAAAATTTGAAACAGTCAATATGACAGATTGTAATTTGGAGAACAACGACATAGTCTGTTCATTATTATTTTTGGCCCCTTTGGCGATTCGAGTATCTGATTGTATCGATATAGCGAAACAGTAAGATTTGAAACCGTGAATATGACAAATTGTCTGCTCACTATGACAAATATTACGTCTGTGAACAATTTAAACAGATCAAGTTCGTGTATAAATTTATATAATACTCGGTAAAATTTGAAACAGTCAATATGACAGATTGTAATTTGGCGAACAACGACATAGTCTGTTCATTATTATTTTTGGCCCCTTTGGCGATTCGAGTATCTGATTGTATCGATATAGCGAAACAGTAAGATTTGAAACCGTGAATATGACAAATTGTCTGCTCACTATGACAAATATTACGTCTGTGAACAATTTAAACAGATCAAGTTCGTGTATAAATTTATATAATACTCGGTAAAATTTGAAACAGTCAATATGACAGATTGTAATTTGGCGAACAACGACATAGTCTGTTCATTATTATTTTTGGCCCCTTTGGCGATTCGAGTATCTGATTGTATCGATATAGCGAAACAGTAAGATTTGAAACCGTGAATACGGCAAATTTTCTGCTCACCATGACAAATATTACGTCTGTGAACAATTTAAACAGATCAAGTTCGTGTATAAATTTATATAATACTCGGTAAGATTTGAAACAGTGAATATGACAGATTGTAATTTGGAGAACAACGACATAGTCTGTTCATTATTATTTTTGACCCATTTGGCAATTCGAACATCTGATTGTATCGATATAGCGAAACAGTAAGATTTGAAACCGTGAATACGACAAATTGTCTGCTCACCATGACAAATATTACGTCTGTGAACAATTTAAACAGATCAAGTTCGTGTGTAAATTTATACAATACTCGGTAAGATTTGAAACAGTGAATATGACAGATTGTAATTTGGCGAACAACGACATAGTCTGTTCATTATTATTTTTGGCCCCTTTGGCGATTCGAGTATCTGATTGTATCGATATAGCGAAACAGTAAGATTTGAAACCGTGAATACGGCAAATTTTCTGCTCACCATGACAAATATTACGTCTGTGAACAATTTAAACAGATCAAGTTCGTGTATAAATTTATATAATACTCGGTAAGATTTGAAACAGTGAATATGACAGATTGTAATTTGGAGAACAACGACATAGTCTGTTCATTATTATTTTTGGCCCCTTTGGCGATTCGAGCATCTGATCGATCTAGCGAAACAATAAGATTTGAAACCGTGAATACGACAAATTGCAATTTGGAGAAGACAAGATACAGTGCATTATCATTTTATCAAGATACAGTTCATTATTATTTTTGCTCTCTTGTGATTCGAGCATCAGATTGTGTCGACATAATGAAACAATAAAGTTTAAAACAATGAATATGAGAAATTATAGTTCGAGAAATATAGTGTGTTTGCCTTTACTTTTGTCTCTTGTTCGTGTTTTAAACGTTTTATTGTCCGAACGTTACGTTTCCTTTTGTTATTAAAACCTAGAACAAAGACGAACCTCGTTGCTCAATTGCTCCAACTTCGTTCATTTCTCTGCTGACGTGAATTTCAATTAACGACGACTCAGTTAACCAGTTAATCGAGAGCATCGTATATTACACTGACATTAATATCATTCCAAAAATAAATCCTCCATTATTCCAGATGATTTTCACGATTGATTACACTGCACGTAACTATCCACCGTCATTTCGAATATAATATCTGTCCAACGTATTAACGTCGACAGACAAACGATATTAATATTTAAATGCATGATGTACGAGTGTCAGGGGGGGGAGGGGGATAATTATCGAATTTTCATACTTTGTTTCACTGAATTTCACTTCGTCTGTATCGTTGTCCCGCGAATGTGACAAAGACGCGCGTAATGCGGTTAATAATCGGCGTTTTACCGGGTTCGTTGTATCGGAAATGGAAAACTGCGATTCATCAACTACTTACATGTGACACCTTTTAATTAAAACGGGAATTAATTAATGCTGCCTCTGTGTCGTGAATTTTCGCGCGATCCCCGGTCACGTGGCGTCGAATACACGAATGAAAAATTACGCAAATAATACTCAATTACGAGATCGACATGATGCAATCCCTTCCTGTTTCACAAACATTCCGCAGTTGACGAAATCACGATCCCATTATTCCGCGTTGCGGCCATGATAACATTTCCATGTTGTGATATTTCTGTGTTTGTGCTGCTTTCATGTTATCACTTTACATTTTTTGTTAACGATGCGTGCCACAGCGTATACGTATATTAATACGGTGAATTTAGGATTAAATTTTCGAGAGCTCGTTAAGTGTGTGTGTCGCAATAAAATATTTTTCTGTATTAAGGATGCTATTATTTTTGACAGTGTAATAAAATGATGAAAGTTTTAAAAAGAAAAAGGTGTAGAAAATAATTCCTTTTTTACAGAAAAAATAATTCTCACTTTATGTATTTTTGATATCAGAAACTCAGATACTTTCGACTTTTTAATAACTTTTAATATAATGATGAATTATTTTATTATTACTCTAAAATCGTATGCAATCTGGTTGTGTAATATCTCGAAGATCCTTAATCATAATAAATGTTCCCCCCGGCGTTTGCCTTTTGAAAAATTATACAAGAGCTCCAATAGAATTCACTGTCATTTATTATCGTCGTTAGTTTCTTCTAAAATAATTCAGAAGACAATTAATCACACAGAGGCACTTAATCATCTAATAGCATAGCAACAATTATTTAGGAGATATTTCAAGACAAGAAATTTCAAACTTCAATTTTTATGAGTCGCGATTAATGATCTGTATCGATTCAAAATTTAGAAATATTATTTAAAGAGTCAAATCACTCGTAATTGTGATCACATAATCAAATAACTGTTATTAAATAGCTTTCAATATAACTATTGAAATTATATTATTATATACGTTCCAATAATATAGAAATTTTAACGAGCAATATTAATCTATTAAGACTCGAGCAATATTACAAATATCTTAATTTCGTAAAATTATGAAATCTATAGTGAAAAAATGCAAATTATTTATTGTTATTTATTACTTTTTCATTGTTGTTTTCATTATCACTGGGAAAGAAAATTTATTTTTTATTTTTTATTATTATCAATTCCAATAGCTCCAACAGTAAGAAATAGAGTTTGATGATATAAATTAATTAAAAAAGGAAGATTTAATTTGAAAGAATTACAAACGAAATGTTGTATTAACGAATCATTAGTCCTTAATGATTAATAGTCTCGGATACACGTTTTTCCCGTAAAATTTTATGAGTCACACGTCTGTTATCAATTTTTCAACACTGTCGTTATTACTTGTCTGATATGTGTAACGTATCGATTTCTCATGGGAGAATGACGTCATATATGCGTGACAGTGGTAATTTTTCATTTTATGATCACATAAATGAACGAAGTTTATTAATTACAGATCAATAACATGCGTGCGCGCTACAACCATTATAACACTAACGCCTACGTTTCTGTGTATTTTTATTACGAAACTGGTGTCAGACATATTAATAACCTCTGTGCAACAGTATAATGGAAACTAAAAATAGACGTGTGGTATTAACTGCCGAGATGAAAGGAAAGATGCTTGTTTTAGCTACAGGGGTCAAGAAACATTTCTTCGCTATTTAATTTAATTTAATTCGTTACTTAATTTTTAATTATTTTTCATTACTTAACCTTTAATTCCTTATTTGCTTACTTTTCTGCTCGTCTAATTGTATAGATAGAAGCCGAGAATTAGAAATTACCGTGTGACAATCAAACTCCATATTTGTGAGTCAGATGAGTTGGTAAATCCTCGGTTTCTGCACAGCAACGTGTCATAAACCTGCTGCTTAGCACTTGAATGCATCGGCAATCAATGGACATGAAATTCCCTCTTGGACTAGATGAACTTTCAAGAGGATCAAACTACCACTGATTTACCAATAGACTAAATGACCATGCTCGACAGATTTTACAGAAGCAGTACACGAAAATTTTATCCGAAAATTTACAATTAAGAAAATTTCGAATAAAATTCCCCAAACGCATCTACACTGTCACCGACATAGAACGGAGTAATTTTTCTGATTCGTTCTAAAATGGTTCACAAAACCAATGGAACTACTGTACAAAATTATTCGAATACCTTGCAGAAACATTTCTACAAATGCATTATATTTATCGTGCAAATAATTTCCAAATTTTAGTGAAAAACGACAAAAGAAACTTTGAAATAACACTACAAGATATTTAATGGAAGTATACAATTGAAATAATCAAACAATCAGTTATTGATCACGTTAATAAGCTTCAACATTCAGTAATTCACTTACGTTGTACACTAAATTTTCATACTTTGTACTTTAATTCTCACTATTGTAAATATAAGAGTACGTGGAATAAATTTCCCAGAGATGGAAATAATTTTCCGTGAAATATGCAATATAAATAAAAGCTCGCGGTTCTTCGCGTTGCGTTTTGAAACTTTCGCCCGTTCCATTGCACTTTCGTTTCTCTGACGCAAGTTTTATACTTTAGGTAGGCGGTGGATTTTAGTATTAATAAAACGAGCTGTACCTTGCGCCGAGATCGATGCCCTTTGCTGGGCAGCCGCGATGGCCATGGCATTAAGTCCACCGGCTCCTGGCGTCGCGTACACGTCGTAGGCTGACGCTCGTCTTGGCAGCTGCACCGGAAGTCCTAAACCAGGCTCCGGGTGCGCGTGTTGTCCTCCACCCCCGGACATTGCGGCAACGCTCTTCATTTCGTCGTCGTACGACCTCTGCCTGGTCATTCTACGAACCGTGCTGCTAGGACGACGTACGTGCCTCCGGCGTTCTTCTTCCTCATCCGCGTTTAATGGTACATCCGGTGGCTCCGCTAATAGAACGAACGATCATTTCAGTTTTTCGTCGAACGTTACGTTTGACAGACGTTTGAAAAATTTTACACGAAGGATGTAACGTAACAATTTGTACATTTTCGTTTATTTTCAAAGCTATTGTTAACTCTTTATTGTTTAGTATTCGAAGCTGTAGAAATTTATGTTTTCACATTGCTTAATTTCTGAATTTCTGTTGTTTTTTAATGATTTATGATTTTCTGATGTTTCGATTTAAATGTCTGTAATGTGATGCAAATTACTATGATCATCTGTCTTAATTCCATCACTTAGGGGTTAATTTAAGATTCAGTCAATTGTGCATTTCTAAAATTTCTTGAGAAATATTTAATATTTAACAAATGTGTTTGAATAATAGAATAGTTTCTCCTATATCTTATACAATGAATTTCGTATATTAATATATCTGTTTTTTAATCTCTATGCAGTTTGTAATCCGAGTATACAAGATAATAAATATAATTACGCAAATAAATATAATTTCCCAATATTCACGTAACAATAATGATCATACGAAGTAAAACGTGAATATATTTCAATCATCGGTATGGTCTATTAAAGCTAGGGAACGTATATATATATATTAATTATTTAAACACATTTAAAATACAAAATTCAAATCTCTATTACATATACACACAGTACAATGGCAAAACATTTGAATAATATAGAGATTTTACCACATTAAGATTTTAGTTATAAACAAGATATTTTGGTGCAAAATTTTGTAGAACCGTGTTAAAATATAATAATACACGTCGCAGTCCGTGGTACGAGTGAAATTAAGGAAATTCTGTGATTCGAAGCACAAGACAAAAAGCAAGAACGATGAAGTTGTGTCGGAGGCGTCATCTTCGAGAAAATCGAGTTTGGAAACTTGTCTGGTATACGTAAACTAGGCTAATTTCCAACTAAATGAAAGTTGAAAATTGGCAGGAAGTTATTATACGTGTAAAAATGTCAAAAATGTAAATAGAGTGAAATCGTTTCCTTTATAATCGCATTTTCGAGAAATTGAGTTTGAATAAGTTTAATCAACAATTAACGCAGTATGCTGCTGCGTATTAATCCTAGAAAGACTAAACTTTGAGCTTTAATAGATAAAATCGCGTAAGAGATTTTACGTAAGAGAAAAGTATAAAGTTTTTCTTCGTTTAAAGTTCCGGTTTTTTTTTTTAAGAAAATAAAATTTGAAAGTTTTTCAAAATATACTAGTTTGATTAATTTTAATATCGATGGAATAATCAGCAGAAGATTATTCTGTTTGCAAAAACAAGAGAATAAAATGTAGAATAAAATTTTTCTATTTTCCAAGAAATATATTGAGCATGTTTAATTAAAAATTAGCTTGCTAGTTTTTGAGTACTTGACGAATTTTTAATTTCCTCGAAAACTGAGCGTCTTATAAAAAAATTGTGTTCCACACTTTTGACTGTTTTCCGCAAGTAGAGTAACTCCTCCTGTTCGCTGTTTATTCCTAAGCAATACAGAATTAACTGAATTTTTAAGTCTAGTTGCTAAATTTTGGAACTTGACTTTCTTCAAGAAACGAAATGACAAAATTCTATTCTCTCTTTGCTCATTACTTATTTTTTCACGTATAATTGCACGAATATACATCCTGAATATATTTGTGACAATTATACAGTTGATTTCATTTGGTTTCGTTTCGATTTATCCAAAGTTTCCAATTGAACAAACACACAAAAAAATCGTCCAATAAATACCACAAAACGTTCGACATCGCATTGTTCTTTAAATAATTCGTGAAATTAAAAACGTGGAAGGTGTGACCGTACGTGAACTCTCGTGACCGAATGTATGACGGAAAAAATAGAGATTTCTCGAAAGAAGATTTAGAAAATAATTGGAGAGCACCTGAAACTGAAAATATCTGTTCCGCGTTTATTTCGGAATGAAGAGAGCCGATCGGTAGAGGTGAGCGTGGAACTAAAAAAAAAGCAGCTCGGAGTAGGAGAAAGGAGAGGAATCTATATTGTGAATAAAGATCCTTACCGGCAACAGAAGACGGCACAACCCTCTGGGGACTGGTAGCTCTTCCCCTATCGACCTGGTGGCGATCCGGCGAGGTCGCTCTAGACCTGATGTTGCGATCCAGGTCCCTTTCCCATCTGAGCTCGTCGCGGCGTTCCCCTGCAACCTTTCGAAACTATAACATTACGACACATAGATTAGAGTCTCGCAGGGAGTGACACCATTGCGTGAAGGAGTTATGACTGTTGGCGTGACAATGCTCACATCAGGGGTGTGTATCGTACACTGATACGAGAAGCGATATGAGTACGCGTGGGACTGATATGTCTGGAAAATATTGAATGACTGATTGAAATAGTTACGACATGTGTCTGTATCATTATTCTATTTCTCGTCTTCTTTCGGCACTTTTCCATTGTCTTTTACTGTCGAGATACGTTTTCCAGAGCTGATCGACGATTTAGTAGAGATTGTGAGAAGGTTTGTTGATCAAATGAGTGGTAATAATAATTATATAATTGTACATTAATTAACTGGATCCTATATGTGTTGTAGGTCGTTCAGTTCAATAGTGACTATGAAAAAATTAATCACTTAAATTAGTAGTAGCTTGAGTGAGTTGTAATATTTTTTAAATTTAAGTGATTCTATAATCGTATACAAATATATCTAATCAATATGAAAGTTTGAAACGTTTAATAACGATATGTAACAAATTAAATATGTATTCATCTTTGATATGTCCATTTAACGTATTATGATACGTTATCCTTTCTGAACCTCTGAGTAAACTAATTATTTGAAGCATCTCAGATTATCTACATGATACTCCAAATAAAATACTCGATTGTTTAATAATGATTACGAACAAATACTTTCTAAAATATGCAATGTTATTTATATTAATCCATCTTAGTTTTGAAATTAAATTTTAAGTCTTTTAAACAATTTAAAAGACTTATATTTTCAGTTTTTCTTTGTTATTTCATGATATGATTTTATTATCCAATAGCTGGACAAGCTTTTACATCAAAATTAGACGCATTAATTGAAATTTCTATAAGTTTTGTAAAAATAAAATATTTAATAATAACAGTATGTTGATCTTTAATAAAAAAAAAAGAAATGCAAAGTATTGCAACAAATGAAGATTTTAAATTAAAACGTCTACTTTGTTTTGAAAATGTATTAACTTTATTGTTATGAAGTGTAGTCGTTTATAAATATAACAAATCTGTTAATGTAGGCAATGTGGATAATGTTACTTGATCATTCAATTATCAAGTATCATACAATTAACGTAGTTATAGCACATTACGAGCATAAGAAAATAATGTTATTGGTTTCTATTGTACTTTATTACAAGCATCATTAGCAGCAAGGGTTTAAATTGATTTTATATGAAAATTTCTTAAAGTTCTTCTAAAGAAAGAATGAGTGAATTATTACGAAAAATTACGAAAATATAAGATATATTATCTAATATAATTTAATCTCTTAAATTTCATTGTAAAATTGAATTGTTACTATTGCACCTTTATTGTTAATATAAAAATTTAGGAAAGTCATATTGGTTAATATTCTTTCTTCAAGACTGATTTTCAATCAGTCCGATTTTTAGACTAATGAGTATACAAAAAATATAATAAGAAATCAGCAACACTTAATTGAAATAAAAACTGAAGTGGAAAAAAAAACGGAGTGTGATTAAAGGGAAATAGGTCACTCCCTGTCAGACACAGTTTCCAATACGATGGAAACCAAGCACCGGTACTTTCTCATTTAAAAATTACTTTTGCGGAAAATTATCCAGATTAATGGCTAGATAGCGAATTTTTATGCATTTATAGGAAATTTGATTAAATTAGATTATTGTAAGATTAATGTAAATGAAACTGGAGTATGTATTACAATATTTAGTAGTGAAAAAAAATTCTACTTCTTTCAACAATAAAAATATAAAATTGCATAAAGATCTTAAATTGATGACACATTTTTAGAAATGTATAACTTTTTTTTTTGCTTCTTTGAAAATTCTATTATTTCTACAAATTGTACGTAATAATAATTTTGTCATCTTATACAAATGCTTAAGATTAAATAAATGTTTTTATAATTTTTATAACTTAAAACGTCTTAAAAATTATGTATATGTTGCAATTATAATTATAATTATCTTAAGGCTCGAATAAATATTACAAGGTATAAATAAATGAATTAATTTATGATATAGATTCTTTGAATCTTTGAGAAAATTATGTAAAACATGATAAATTTCATTTTCGATTGAAATTTGAAAATCTCATTTAATAGAAATAATTATGTAAAATTCTATTTTACATATAAATTATATCATAAGTGGGTTCTCAAAAGAAAGCCAGATTTATTATTTAACGAAAATATCATAAAACAAATATTGTCCCAAGTATTATAAAAATTTATACGATTTTCATTAAATCGTGGACAATAAACTAACAAGGATGCATGTTAATCTCGTTTATATTCCATAATCAAGACCTGCGAGCAAATTCTTACTTTGACTAAAAGTTCAACAGTAACTGAACTTTCTACTTCAGATTACATGTAAGATTACTTCCACTCTTGTTTCATTGGTGTTGAATAATTGAAAAATATTTTCATCCATTATTTTTACATTTTCTTGGAAGGAAATAACTGAAGTTTAAGCACTAATACGTTTTCGATATTTAAAATTCCTCGTGCTTGTTTCAAAACTTTCCATCTAAATAATTCGAAAATAACATGCGTTTTTGCATGCTAAGTAGCAAGAAAACACTGTAATATTTATTTTTATTTTTTGGACATTTTCAAAATTATTTGAAGCTCTACTTTTGCTTTGAAATAGAAATCTACTTTTTTTTTTTTTTACAAATTTTTATAAACTTTGGTATTTAAATTTATCCATCAAACTTTATCTTGAAAATCTCTAAACCATAATTATCAGCAATTTCAATATTTTATATTATACAACGCAATAAATAATTCAATGATCGAGTGAAATATTTATTTTACTGATATTTTTTGAAATATTCTGTCATTTTTCATAGATAAAATATTTACACGAATATTGTCGAAAAAAATATAAAAGGGTGAGATGGATACTTTTAATTACTTATTTATATTTATATTCTACATCTTTGTAAAAAGTACAAAGCAACGAGAAAGGTATTTTTAAATCAAATACATTTTTATGTGTATATTTCATATTTTCTATAATTGAATATAATTTTCTAAAATTGTATCTAATTATATCTAAAATTCGAAACAATAATACAATATTTTTAATCACATTTGCAACACACGAATCATTTCTTCTATTCAAAAGAAATCATATATTTCAGGGTGAAATAATAATTAAACAACTTTCTACACGATCGAAACAATTGCAATTATATTCTACCTTTTTAAGAAATACCACTTGAAGGAACAGAAATAGAAGCAAGATAAATTGCCATCGATAAGCGTACATGAGCTTAAATAAATATTTTTTTCGATGTAAAACGAATGCAAAATAGAACGTGACCGCTGCATGTGTGTACCCAGATCTGTTCATCTCGAACGAATTTATTATTCCCAGATGGAAGTGTGCGTTCGTCACGTATCGAGCGCCGGAAACCAGATCCCATAACGGCTGCAGTGAGATCCTTCCTAGCAGTTCGAAACTCTTCAAATTCGTAACTTGTTGTCAGGAAACGTCAGTTAGGGGAGAAAATTACTGACGTTGCCGCGACGAGATTGAAAGGCCACGGTGGAAAAGGGAGAACCGGTCGAAGCGAGGAGAAAATATAGGAAATCCGTTTTCCAACGGCCACGTCTGTGTCACCGTGTCTGGACAAGTACACACGATCGTTTTACGAAATCGAGGAACCGTTCTATTACGACTCCTGCTGACTCGTGTTGGCCAATTTGCCCAAAGAACCATTTTCTTTTTTTTTTTTTTAATTTATGATTAACGTCGCATCTACCTTCTGGTCATTAGCGACGGCTAGGTACTGTTTCCTTCTTTTCAAGACGATTATATCTTATGGTAGATGTTAGTTTCCTTTAGACAATTCAGGACATTTCCTATGTGTTTCTGCGACGTCAGCGCTGCCGGTGAAGTTATTATGTATTTTTGCCTTTGAGCGTGGTACTTGCTGCATTCAAACAGAAGATGATTGGTTGATAAACTTCGGTTGCATTGGATACACATTGGGGATTCTGTTTTTTTTTTTTTAAATAGATACTCATGTGTGAGTTTGCAGTGTCCTGTTCTAAGCCTNAACCCAGGCGATGATTATGTCTTTGTTATTGTTGATGAGGTACGTAAAAATATGTTGAATGTTTCATGTTTTGTTTTACTATCTATGTTTTCTATTGCTCTGATTATACTCATGGAGTCTGTAAAAATGATGGACGATTGAGTATTGTTGTTTTATGGTGAAAAGCTTCAAGAATTGCACAAGCTTCTGCTGTAAAGATAGATGCGGCTTTTGGAAGATGAAATTTTTTACGCATGTTTCCACAGATGATGGCAAATTTACCTGGTCAGTTTTAGATGCGTCGGTGAATACTTTTTGGTGGTTTGGATATTTACTGCATAGTTGTTGGAAGTTATTTCTATACTATTTATTTGATCCCAAAGAACTATTGTTTATCACCGATCGATTAATAAAATTGAAGGGCTGAGAATGAATTAGTAGTAGAATTTGAGTTAATAATGTTTTCCAAGTGTCGAAGATTATTTCCATGGCAGACCATTGTCGTAATTTCATTTGCTACTAAGAAATACACTTAACTAAAAGGGCAATAACAGTAAATAGAAAATATAATTTTACGAGAAACGTCATAAGGGTGACCACTGTGCTTTCTTAGTCCTTCGATTGAACGGCTGATATTTTTTCCGAAAGTTTTTTTCCACCGATCGATTTTTGCATTTAGATGGCGAAAATGTTATATAAATAAGGCAAAATCTGTTTTCATAAAACAGTTCAGTATATACAAAAGTATTGTGCGTAGTAGTAACATCTAATAATAATACAAAAAATATAAAGATTATCGACATATCCGTAATTCCAATGCTTGATCTACCTATAATGTTATTATTATTTATTATTCATTTATTAATTGTTACTGTCCATTATTATTTGAGGAAAAAACCTCACATAAATAACTCTT